CCGTTATCCCCGGGGACGGGAACGCGCCCCCCGCGGGGCTCGGGGACGAGGCGGCCGCCGGCGCCACCGGCGCGCTCGGGAGGGCTGAATCCCCCGGCCTGCGCCTTGTCCCAGCCGGCGCCGGGCCAAAACCGCCTCGTTTCCCGCGCAGGATCTAACGGAGACCAAAGCAGCTCCCGGGCTTTCCGTCACCTCGCTGACGAACGCGGGGGTTTTTACACTGTCGGTGCGATTCCGGTTCACAGAAACAGGGACTTTCGGGGCTCCGGCTGTTTATTTCCTCCCAGCATTTCGGGTCAGCGGCCCAAAAGTTAAAAAAATACCTGGAATTTGGCTGCGGCGGGGGGGAAGAGAAGCGGGTGGTTTCCCATGGAGCTGGAGCCGGTGAACGGAGCTGTCCGGATGCAAAACTCCCCACAAGCCTTGGCCATGGCTCTGCTCTTCTCCCCTTCCTTGCGCCCATCCCTTGACCATTCCCATGCCCTCCAAACCCTGGGAATGGCTCCTAAGCACAAGGCAGCGGATGCTTTCGACCCAGGACCCCACAGCATCCCGGGAATGCTGGAAATCCCACGCGCAGCTGGTGACGCAGCACCAGGAGCCACTGAAGCAGCACCCGAGCGCGAGAGCCTCGGCGCAAACTCTCCAGGATCGGCCTCGGTGGGATTTTTTTCCCTTGTTTCCATAATTATCCGTTGGCTACGGCCGGCATTAACACCCGGATGGCCAACGAGCTGCATGGGCTGCTCCGAGCGTCCGTTGGTGCTCCGAGCGCCACGGCAGCACCCAAACACAGGGCAGTTGGGTCCCCAACGCGAAAGCGACTCCAAAACCCAACAAAATCCCGATCGGACTCACCGGATATGTAGGATCGTCCATTACAGTCCTCTATATCCATCCTTGGAGCACGTTGCTGCAAGAGAAAGCAGAGCTCAGGGATTTGGGGCCGAGCGGCCGCGCGCCCGGATCACAGGGAATCGGCCTTGGATTTCGCTGCTGGGCTCCCCACAGAGATAACCAACATTTTATACATTCGGATGGGTTTCCTTTGGCAATAAATGACAAATAAAAGGCAAGTAAATGTGATTTGCACACAGAGAAAGAAGAAACGATATTCACTTTTCTCGCCTTTTTTTCAATGGCCAGTTTGAACGGAAACGGGACTTTTTAAGGGGACTTTGGTACCTTTTGGGGCTGGAGGAAAGCAGTTGCTCTCGCCCAATGGTGCCCCTTTGGCAAGCAGATTTTTGGCAGGAATTGCTCCCTGGAGGGCCTGGAATCAGGAGGACAATGTTGCTCCAGGCCACGCGCCGCTCGGGATGAATCCGGACACGGACAAGGCTGGGCTCATTAACCCCACTCCTCGCTCCAGGTTAATGCAGACAAACCGCGCTCCAAAACCCCGGCGCGGGCACGGCAGCACGCGGGGACACGGACGGACACGGAGGGGCACGGAGGGG